GAAGCTGCTGCTGCTGCTGCGAGTCTCCGACAGCAGCGCCGGCGGGGCGGGATTCGCTCTATTGGCCAAGCGAAACGCTGGGCTGTGGCTTACCGCAGAGTGCGCGGCGGGGTGGGGCGTGGCGTGGCGTGGCGGCGCCGCGTGGGGTGGCGTGGCGTGGCGGAGCGTCGCGCCCGGGGGCGCTACGCTGTGGGCGGGACGGGCCCGGGACAGAGGCTCCTCCTCCACCCGCGGATGGGCCGCGCCATCAAATCACACCGCAGCAGAGCCCCGCGCCACGCCGCGCCACGCCCTGCTCCTGCTGCGGGGGCGGGGGGATGTGGTGAGGCGGGGCGGGGGTGCCGCCGCTCGCACATTTATCTTAATTGCGGCGACATTGTCCTGACAAGCGGAGTGGGCCCGGGAGGGAAGATGACAGCGTTAGCTCCTTCCCCTCCCCCCTCCCCGCTGTAATCACCCCCACGGACACAGATTGCCCGTGTTTCTTCCCCCGAGCAGAGTTACATCCCCGGAGTACATTTGCTCTCGCCTGACGACAGCACCCTTCCTCTCTCTCTCTCTCCCGCTGTCCCTCTCTCTCTCCCGCTGTCCCTCTGTCTCTTTGCCGACCTCAACAACAACGGCCCTGTCCTCACCCTGAGCGTTATTTGCAGGTGAGGGTGGCTGGCAGCGCCATCCGCTGCTACAACGACGCGTCTGCCGAGCGCTCCAACTGGCTCAAGCTCATCCGCTCCACCTACCGGCCCGAGGCCCGCAACGTGCGCGCCTTCCTCTGCGGCGGACAGGTACGTCAAGTAGTGTTTGATGCCGTTTTTTGTTGCTGTTGCTGCTGCTGCTCTGTAGCTGCATGTCGTTCTTGTAGTGCGCTAGTACACCTGTAACGGGCGTTAAACAATCAATCCCCTTTTGTGTGTGCGTACTACATCACATGTGTTTGTGTGTGTGTGCGTGACTTCGTTTGCAGTGGTGCGTCCCGGTGCGACGGTACGCCGATAATTGTGTGAACCCAGCTCTGTGTGTGTGTTTGTGTGTGAAGCCACCGACGAGGCGCCCCTACAGCAAGGGCTGCCCGGCCCGGGGGCCGGCTAATGACCACTGGGCACAAGGGCAATCACAGAGCCCTTAACAATTCATGGCGGGCCCTGCGCACCTCCCCACATGTCTCACTCTCTCACTCACTGTCTCTCTCGCTCTCACCCTCTCTGCCTCTCTCTCCTAATTTTCTATCTCTCTCCTTCCTCACGTCCACCTTCTCTGTCTCACCACGTGTGCGCTTTTGGGTACATATATATATGCACATGTGTATATTTCACGTCACAAATATGCGGTCGAGCATTATATGGTCGCTAAAACGAAAGCTGCCGCCTCCTTTATTTTTTATATTTTGATGTCATAATCAAGCAGCCGTAGAGAGACTTTTTGACCGCGTTGGAATTTATTTCGTCTGAAACGCTTACTAATTTTACCCGAGCTCTTGCAGGCGCAGGCCGGTGTATAGGGGACGGGTTTATCAGGTGCCTCCGGAGTGCGAGTGGAGCCGAGGGCGATGACGAAGGAGCGGCCGTCGCCTCACCGCGCCGTCCGGCCCGGTTGTAAAAATTAATTTGGGATTGCGCGGTGAAAGGTGCCATAATTTTCCAGCGCGTTTACTGAAAAGGCGGAGGCCACGGCGGCCCCGGCCGCCACGGCGGCGGAGGCCGGCGGGGCTATCGGACTTCATTATATTCGTTTTCCCCTCCGTTGAGAAATTGTCCTTTCAGAGTTTCCGAGATAAGTGTCGGGTCAAGCGTGCAGGTGGAGTTAGGCCCCAAGCACGCGGGAGGAGGCAGGGGTAAGAGGGGGTCAATTTGGACGGACTTCTGTGTGTAGGGCGGGGAGGTGGGGACAGTCTCGGGGCAGTCGAAGGGTCAGGGGGCCCTGGATGGCCGCCGAGCAGGTCGGCTAATCAGAAGCCAGAGCAGCAGCAGCAGCAGCAGCAGCAGCAGCAGCAGCAGCAGCAGCAGCAGCAGCCAGCCAGCGACCCTCCGCCGCCGGTCAGGAGGGTGGAAAAAAATATGAGTGAGGCTCAAATAATGTGAAGGGTCGGCGGCGGCGGGCGCTGCGCAAGCCGCGTAACGATCCCGACGTCACGAGACGGGTGCGTGACTTACGTCGTAAAACACAAAACTCCGCGAGACAGAGAAGAGAGAACTCGTCGTCGCCGACGGGCTGGCGCGCGGCCGCATGATGGAAGAGCGCGCGGGCAGACTACTTGCGCTGGAGGATCGAAAAAGTACGACGAGAAGTCGCCGCCGCCGCCGCCGTCGTCTGCTGAGCGAGGGGCGATGGCGAGGAATCGGGAAAAGTTGTTTCTGCTCGGCGGGATCCGGCCCCTCCGCGCCGCGCACCGCACTCCAGCGCGGCGGCGTCGGCGGGGGAAATGGGGCGGAACGGGGACGGAGAGCGTTGCGGCGCAAAGGGAGTGAGAGAGAGAGAGAAAGAGGGAGAGACCGGCTCCGAGATGACGCTGCGAGTGATGGTCGTGGCGGCGGGGTGGCGCCCTGGACCGTGGGACTCCCTTTGAGCCCCGCCCCGCCCCTGCAGGCCCAGACGGTCCCACCCACGCGGCCACTTCGATATTCAATTTTCCACCATTTTTCCCGGAGTGCCTCTCTGCTGGCGGTGAGGTCCACATCGGGGTCCACCCTCCTTGTAGCACAAAGCAATCGAAACACGCCCATAATTGAAACTGTTTTTCAACTATAATCGCGCGGAAGTATGAAGGACATTCCGGACGCATCGCCGTGCCGGCGGCTAGACGGGGTCAACTGACTCCGTTTTATTTTGTGTTCTCAATTTTAAAGCCGCATCGCTTTGGGCAGCGCCGGGCCGGGCATAAACAATCCCCCGGGGGCGCATATTCAGAGGCGAACCATAAACCGTCGCTGCGCAAGTCCGCTCCGGGACCGAGTCCGGGCCGGACCCCCCCTTTGGAATTTACTACGGCCTGAAATGAATCCCCCGCTCGCGGCCAGGAGGGCCTTATCAAGGCGCGCCCGCCCCGCCCACCGGCGCGCGCTCGCCGCCCAACGACGTTACACTTTTCCATACTAAAAGTGTCATTCCTTTTCCGTGTCCTGTGCGCCGCGTTGCGAGATTATTTGGAGGGGTCACGGAGGAGCGCGCGGCGGCGGTGTAGCGGGCAGCGGGTCGTAGCCCCCAGAGTCATAACCTCGCAATTACTGTCACTTTGCGGCGAGGCCCTCCGCCTTACTGCTCCCATTAGATTCATAATTCGGCAAAAAAATAGGGAAAAATAACTTTTCCAGAAAATTGGATCTACAGAAATCTTTCCAGAAAATGTTGATTAAATTTACCGACGTAGAAAAATGTAGTA